TGCACACAGACACACATACACATATATGCATATATATGGAAAGAGCAAGATAGACAAGAGAGGGGAGGAAAGCAGCGTAAAATCAGCATCAGTGCAAGCGGTCAGGAAGCGGCTCTGTCAGCATTCCTGTAAAAGCAGTTTTCCTCATGATGTTCTCTACCTCATCTGCACACATATGGATAAATAAATTGCTTTACTCCCATGACAAGCCCATTGAACTCCTGACAGACTTTATGAGTCTGCATTGACCCACCAGAATTGAAAATGGATTATCTTAGAGGTTAAAAAGAAAAAAAAAAAAAGAAGAATGGATATAGAGGGTTTTTTTATTTCTTCTGTCTCAGCTTTGTTTTAATGTCAGTGAAAATTCAAGTACAATAGAAAATAATATTTCAGTCTCCAAATGGAAACTCATAGCTTGAAAACCTGGGGTAAGATATCATTTCGGCTGAAGTCAATAACAAATTCTTAGTGACTTTTTTGGGACAGGATTCCACCCCTTAATTTGCCTCAACACTAAACTGAGTGCTCCTCTGAACAGCAAAGACGATGTATTGGAAAGCAATACCAGGGCATGTCATATCTAGCTGTTAGATTACCTTGGGCTTATTATGACTCTTTCTGCTAACTGAATTTTAAACATTAATATTAGATGGCTGTTCATAGAAAGGAGACCCATTAAAGACAATCATGACATGTGCTGTCATATGTTCCTCTGCTATTTAAAGAAAACTCTGATGATACTCTTTATATCCATTACCTGAAAAGACCAAGGGACAAAGTCAGAATTGAGGATGCACACTCTAAACTATCAAATAAAAAACATCCTATGTTTTCTTAAACGCAGGCAGCAATTACAACATTGATTTTTGTCTCTTCTTTTATAATCTGTTCCCAGATGTTAAGATTTCATTACTCAAAGCCGGACCTTTGCTGAAGACAAAAAATATCTCTTTGCAAAAAATAAATAAAATACAGATATTTATTGATCAAAACTATGTTTTTGGGTGTGCATGATGATCTTGTGACTCTTGAAAACAACTACCAAAAGAGCAAAAATAGTAATGTGAATGTGAAAGGCTGAAATGATGACAGTATATTTGCCTGCATACTTCCTGTGTTGGCATAGAATGGGAAAACAGTTGCTTGGAAAGTTGTCATTATTTCTTTTCGTGTTGTTTAGAATAGATTTACAAATGCAGTTATGTGTTACTGTCAAGAGGAAATGTCAATTTGTGACAGTATAGCCCCTATTTACTAGTGAACACGCAGAATTATCTCCCTGGCTGTTTTGATAGTGACAGCTTTCAGCAGAAATATTCAGATTTCTTCATTTAAATGTAGTACGCAGTTAGAGATTAAGATCTAATCTTTCATTGCTAGTTGCTTTTGTTTTGTCAAGAATTTGTTAGAGTTCATTAGTGACTTAATTTTTAAAAATACAAATAATGTACAAAGCCATGATCCAAGGCCACAGGACATGCTGCTTTCATCCCTGAAGGACTTCAACAGTTTTGAAACCACAGATGCGGAGCAGGAAAATTGCCCGAGTAATTTGAATCTAAGATTAATTAATATGGAGAATTGATCCTTTGAAACAAGCAGGAATTTCTCTTTGTCACTGAGGGGGCTTTAGATCAGGCATTGTGGACCACAAGGAGGTTAGAAGTGATTTTTCAACCCTTCTTTTCAGCTGTGGACGAGCAGAGATGGGAGCCCTTTAGTGTGGGCCATAGACAACACGTGGCTGAGGTGCATTCTCCTCAGACAGCTTTTGTGCGTCCCAGTTAGACCACTGCATCAAGCCCCACGCATGCCTGGGCCTCTGTCCCTAGTGGCAGTGGACAAATCTAGACTAACTTTGTGTTTGTCTCACATCCTATAGTACATTTACCAATAAATAATTTAGTTTTTTGTTGCTATTGGCAGCACTGTTCTAGTTTGCATTCTTTTCTTTTGCTCTTTTGTGTTTTGCTTTTCTGTCGTATATGGGTTTTTCTTAATGTGACATCTTTGTGCAAACATCATATGCATCTGATGAAGGCAAAAGAGATGTATTGCGTTTCGGCTAATACAGAGGAAAGGGGAAATTGCCCACATAATGGAACAGGCGATTCAATTTTAACTATGTCATTTCTCTCTTGTCTCCATAGTAGTGAATACACAAACATAAAATACATAATCTACCTCCTCCTTCAAAGATATCAACGTGCAATTAAAACCCACAAGGCTTGACAACCTGTTGTCAAGTTGTTTAAGCAGTTGTTTCAGAATCTGACAGACAAACTTATAAACAAAACGTAGAGCGCCAGATTGTGGCATGAGGCAGCATCATCACGTGGCTTCCTCAGTCGTCTCAAAATTTGGAAGACAAAAAAAGTAGAGGAATACTTTTTTTTTCCTTGAATAAATAACAGTTTAATTACATTATAGAAATAAAATATGATGTGGTAGTAATACACTGGAAACCTTACAGAAATACTATTCTGCTACTGGTAGGTAAATGGTCAAAGCTATTTTTAATGACAATCTGAACAGTACTTGTGTACAAACTATTATACAGGTTGCTAACGAAAGATATTGCAGCAGTCGCAAGGATGTTACCAGCTCAAACAAACATCTAATGATACAATATTCTTCTAAGAGGAAGTAATAATGTTAGATTTACAGACAATAAAGAGTTATGTTCTCCACTTTGAAACACTGGAAATAAAAAGCTCAGGTAATCCAATTTCTTTACCTCATATTATCACAAGGAAAGATTTTCCTTTCTCTGTGAAACAGCATCCCAAGAGACCCTGTAAACATTTTATTCAAAGGTAGTATCTGAGATGTCACAGCAACTTCAACAATTGTCCTAGACTACAATTACAGACTTTTTAGGCCACTGCTTGTACAGATGACTTTTTTATTTTTCACTTATTTACATACATTCAGCCCAATAACAGCAGGTAAAATGCGCTGTCTATCTCACAATAGACACACTAACATTTTCGTCAAAAGGCCAGTGCAAGAAAACGTGGATAGTGATTGCACAGCATCGAGGAGATTATATTATACAAATATACAATTAGACTGTCGAGAATCTTAACTCTGCAGGCATGTGACACAGACGGTCTTCTTTATAGATACACAACACCTGAAGTTGGTAAGTATACATAACTGGAACTATAGTTATTTGTCTGATGACGGTATGGGTGGTTGTGGCAGATGATAGTATAATTTGGCTGTGCTATCGCTAAGTGAAGGTAGACGATCACAAACTAGGAATACCTAAAGCAGAAGTTTAAGAACAGCTAATCTTGGAACGGCAACAGATTTTCTAATGACGGAGCAGTTCTATTTAGCGCGCAACTTGTAGGGAAGTTGTTGCCACCTCTTTAATAAATGGTTCTAAGTGAACCGACACCGTTCCCAGAGCGTTAGAAAACCTCATTATGCAGTGAAGATAGTGATGACAGACAGCAATGTTTCACAGGATGCTATTTCTTATTATATCAGTAAGCACCAAGTAAAGTGCCAAGACAGCCCCATTGTCCCATGATTTATTATGTAAAATTTAGAACTTCAATGCACAACAGAAGTCCACGATATTTGCATTTAGTTCACAAGAAGACAGTTTCAAAAATGGCTCTTAAAATACCTTTACGTTTCAAGCAAACTTCCCCCCGGCCCCGAGGACTGCTTTAGGATGAACTACATCTAGATAGGAGAAAGCTCTTTGAGAAGGAGGACTCGCACGTCCTCTGGGAACCCTCTGCAATTCACCACTCTTGGCTGACCGCCCTCAAGGGCACCATGCTCTGCCCTGCCTCCAAGGCAAACTGTAGGGGGAGCAAGGTGGAGGAGGAAAACGCCCCCGTGCCTTTCAGCTGTTGCTCAGCACCTTGCCTGATGAGATCTTTAACACGTGCCATGCTACACCGAGTCTTTGCTCACTGATCCTGAACCTCCACTGCCCTGGTGTCACTTAGGCCAGTGCACAGCCGCTGACCAAAAAGAAGCTTGGCCTTTTGTGCTACTGGCTGCTGTGACTCGCATTTAGATACCAGAAATGCCACGGGGATGTCAAGGCATCCAGGAACCCCCCCAGGGCTGCAGCCATACTCCCTTTCTCTAAGTAACCCCCACAAGAAAGGGCTACAGGACAGCACAGATTAGGTTCCATTAGACCCGTGCCAAAAAGGGAGTCACCCCGCTTGCGGGAAGCGTCAGGCAGCAGCTAAGCTGGCTTAACAGCGATTTTGGCAGAAATCAGCCAGAAAAAGGATCAGGAAATGGTCCAGAATGCAAGGCAGCAGAGAATAAGGTCCAGTACCTCTGATTTAGGATGGAATTACAGAATATCCATGCCCCAAAGACTTCTCAATAACATGCTCTTCGTCAAAGTCCTAGATGGTAAAAGCAGTCCCATCATGGAACAAAGCTGCAATTTTCATTCAATAATTTCTCCTTCTTTGCCTTGAAGCTGATGGTGTCAAACTTTGTCAACTGTATCCTACCCAACAGTGAGACTCACCTCATTTCAAGCAGTAAGATTTAAATACTGAAGAACTTAAAATAAATTACCATTTATTTCTGGTGTTCTCAGTTTTCAGTAACACCTTCGATACCCGTTTTCAGTTGTCAGGGCTGGCTCATGCCATGCTCTGCCTCCTGCTCCACCTTATTCTCGAGTATAACTAAAAGGCTACTTTCTCTCACACAGGGATGCATCTCGGTGTGGATCTGTATGTTCTTAATATGGTATTTTCATCATTAATCAGTTGGAAGAACTCAATTTTAGAAACAGAATTCGTGTGCAAAGCGTGCAACAAGAAATACAGTTTACATTTGGTCATAGTGTCCTATCTTAGTTATGCTACAACGACTCACACTTATGAGTATACTTACTTACACACACACACGCACGCACATAGATATTTATTTATATACACGCTCACACAATAAGAAAATGTCTGACAATACTTCCTCCTCTTTTAGTGAAGACTGGAGTTTGGCATCTCAGGCTCTGAGTCTGCTTAAACCTGGGATACAGGAATGCAACACACTTCAAGTATACATCAACTGCACAGTGACAGCATGACACATTGCGTCTGATACATGCTGCCTTCAGAGGTCCAGCACCAGCATGGGACTAAAAACAGTTGCCCATTAAAGGAGCCAATTTCCAGGACCTTCTCTTTTCAGCGTTCATATTCACACAAGGCCCCAGAGAAGGGCAAGAGTCTGTACAACAGTGAGCGTCCTTCTGTATAAACGCAGTGGTATTTAAAAGTCTGAACCAGTGCATTCCTCTCTTATATTCCTTCTCTATTCCCTTGTTGCTGTTATTCTCATAAGCATGTGAAAGTAAAAGGTAACAGGGAAATAATTTTAGTAGAAGAACACAAAGTCTCTCCTCTAAGTCCACAGAAGACCACTAAAAGTGTAAAATTTCCAAAATAACTCATAGGAATTCTTCAAATACAGTAAGTGTTTTCAATGGGGTTTACATACCACGTTTCACATTACTTCCACATAAGTCTACCTTATCACTTTGTTTAATCAGACAAATATCAATAACACATAATAAAACAGCATACAGTTCACAGGACACAACACATTTTACAAAACCTCTAAAACTCAGCACTGCCGCTTTTGGGAAAAAAAATAAAAAACTCCTATTACTTACAGACATGAAATACATTTCACATTGAAATGGACAGCATGATTACACCGCTTTTTCTTATTTGATGGTATCGTTTTAGGATGCATTCGTTTTCAATTAGGTTTCACAATTTTTCTTCACATCCCCCAAAGAAACTTTTGCTAATTTGATATTTTCGCTGTACTCCTTCACAAAACTTATTATTATTCAGTAAATACTTTTGAGAAATAACTTTTGAGAATTTCATTTGAACTCCTAATTGTAAAACTTGAAGAACTGCCTGACAGTAATGCTCTGAACACAATCATTGCTTAGTTTACAATGACAAACCAAAAAAGTATTACAGGAGGGTACAAACACATTAAGCCACGGGTTTGGTTTTCTCTGTCGTTGTTGATTTTTTTTTTTTTTAAACTATTTCCTTTTCGCACAATGCTGAGAAGTCTCTGACTTACAATGCTTCAGCAGTTGTGTCTGTGGAGACAGACATGGTAACTTTGGCAATCTTAACTGTGCTCTTAATGCAGCTCTCTGCAGCCCTGTGGACATTACCTGCGTTGTTGGCATGCTTGTGCTGGCAGTCAGACTCCATGCTGTTATCGAGAGGCTGTGCAGTTCCTTCGCAGGTGGGGAACATGCTCCGGAAAGCATGTCGCAAGTCCTTGCTCCTCAGAGCGTAGATGATGGGATTCACTGTCGAATTCAGCAAACAGAGCATGCTACAGAACGCAAAGACAGTCTTGATGAGCTTGTTCATTTTCCCAAAGACATCATACACCATTATGGCGAGGAGAGGGCCCCAGCATATGATTAAAACGACTAGAATAAGGACCAAGGTTTTGGCTAACCTGATGTCCATACGAGTTTGATCAGGCCTAGTGATCTGTACTTTCCCATCCTCCGTAGTCTGAATGATTATGCTTTTCTGAGTGCCACGCTGAATCATTCGAACAGCATGACTGTGAGCCTTCCACAGTATGTACATGTAGGCATACACAATGAACAGCAAGAGTACGCTGGTGACCCCAATCCAGAACATCAGGTACGTCTCATCGATGAGGGGGAATATGTCTGAACAAACAGAATTGAGCTTTTTGCAGTTCCAGCCGAGCAGAGGAAGAACAGCTATTACAATAGCGATGGTCCACATCACACAGAATGCTACGACAGCCTTTGGTCGGGTAACAATCCTTTTGTAAGCTAGTGGCCTGTGTATAGATATGTACCGGTCTATTGCCGTGAGGAAAAGGCTACCTACTGAGGCAGTGAACGAGGCTGTAACTCCACCCAGTTTGAACAAGAAGACATTAGGGCTGTCCTTCCGGTGGAAAACATGGAAATCAACAAAACTGTAGACAAAAATCACGCTGCCCAGGAGGTCGGCCACAGCCAGGCTGCCGATGAAGTGGTAGGAGGGTCGACACCGGAGGCTTCGGGAGTGGAGGATGACACACAGGACTAGGAAGTTCTCCAGGACAGTGAAGGTGCCCAGGGTGAGGGACAGAACTGCAATAGCCAGCTGCTGGCTGGGGTTCAGGATCATAAAACACTCCATATCCATGAAGTTCTCCCCACACTGTATATTCTCCTCATTATCCTTGAAGGTGGACAAGGACTTGTTGTAAAACTCTGTGATATTGATCTGATCAGATGGAATAATGCTCAACAGGGGATCATCTCCTGCAGTCATTTTTTCTTGGAAAGGATCACCCCTGAAGGAAGAGAGGGGGAATTTCTGGGGATAGTATCCCAGCTTGGATGCCATGTCACCCTTCATGTCTTCGTACTGGATATCGTTGGAGCCCGCGTAAAGGAGATCTGTTGTAATCGTTCGGAAAGTTGTGTCCGCGAGGCCATCTAGGATTGACTTCATAACCCCAGTCTTGTATTACGTTGGTTTCAGAGAGACTCGGGGAGGGAAAAATACATCTGAGGAAATCCTAGAGGGGGAGAAGATCAAACTTCATTAAGATAAACAGGGAGACAAACTCCACAAACAACTTAGTTGAACTGCGTCAAACAAAATTGACCCTTCTCCTGTATTCAGTGCAGGTCTAGCCACTGCCACCTGCAGTAGTGAGGATGAATGGAGCATTTAGAACAAAAACATCTGAAATTCGGTAGAATCTGAATTTCACTAGAAAGTGGCTCAAAAGCTGAAGGTGCAGAGAGTGGCATATTCCGCAGGAAAGTAATTTTCATTTTTCCTCAAAATGTTTTAAGCTGTTCCACCAGAAAGATATTTTTCCCTAGATCTGAACTTAGGTTCTGACTGCAAAGTACCTTGTAGACCAATATTCCTTGGGCTCGCTTCATTTAGACACCAAGTGCCACTGCAGGAATAGGCTTAAACCGAATGATCACCTTCATTGCTTCTCTTTCAAAAGGCATCAAGGATGTTGAAATCCTAACAGCACAGAGAGAACAGGGAAGGAGCCATGCACTCTAAGTTTCACAGTTCACCCTTTATGCCTGTAAGTTCCATTACTCTATTCCTTATTTCTGCTAAGCAAACCAAGGCAACTATACGCTTGGACTATACGGGGGAGGTGTTTTTTTACCCAGCTCTGTCCGCAATTCCAGGAAAAGCGAATAGCACTGCTAAATCTGTGGGTGTGACAGAGACCCATTTTGTTCCGATGAGAAGCCTCAGTGAGGGCAGTTCACTCCTGCCCAGAAAAACAGGGCACAGTGGTATCTGAGCTGGAGTGCAACTCTAGTCAAAAATCCAGGCAAAAAGGACTAGGAGCCACTGCTTATGTGAGATGCATGGAAATGTAACTCTTCCCACTGGGGACACCGTCAAACAGATTCTGTCCCTTAGAAATCGGAAGCCCAAGAGAGGGACCCCAGGTAGTCATAGCTCTCTGAGTCCCACCTTGTGCAGCCTTCACTCACAGGTGATGACCTGTGCAGGACTTAAGTCCTGATGGGGCTGCTCTTGGGAGAACACGCTCATCAGCGTCTGAGCATCTTACATGCATTGACATGAAAGAGGTCCTACAGCTCTGCTTATACTGTTCTCCTATATAATAGTTTGCCAAGATAACATGCCTTGAATATGCATTGAACATCTGCTTTAAGGTGCCTTTCCATGGCCAGAGTGGCATAGAGCGGTCTTAATGTAAAGAAGAGACAGAATTATTGCTTCTGTGTGCTACAGCACTTCTGCATCTGCTATGGGACTTTTAGACAATTACATCAGCAACAGTAATACTAAAGGCTTCTTCATGCATTTAGAATGGAGGAAATTGTTTGAAACACCCAAGAAATCACCGATACCATGTATAGTCTCATACTGACTAAACCTGTGCGCTTCATTCAGTTGACGATAAATGGCCGGAAAGGCCATGAGATACCAGCAGCCAAAATCCAGAGTACTGATCACCTCTACTCCTAAAGAGGAGACTTGCACAGTAAGTAACATATCTCAGTTTTTCCTTTAAAAACGAAAGAAAGAAGAAAAGGCTTCCTCTTCTCAACAATACAAATATCTAAAAATAGATGAAAACATTAGCATTTCCAAAACGAAGTAGAGATCATTTGGCTAGTGAGATGTTTTTACTGCACTTATACTTGGCATCTGGACGCTCAAGACTTTTTGCATAGTTCACTAATACAAAGATTTCTATTTGATTCAGCAGGCCCGGACAGTGAGCATTAAAGGAAGTGCATGAACCCAGACCTCCAGAAAACACTGCAACTTCAGTGGCGCAAACAAGGAGCAGTAAAAACAACACTTATCAGGATAGTCTAATACACAGCACAGACACTCGCTGAGCCAACTTTTGCAGGCCCCTTTGCTCAGCAAAGCAGCAAAATAATTATGAAACAGACAGACCATCTTAAACCACATTAAGGAAGTTAATTTTGAGGGTTTGAGCAGAGAGGAAGGGAAATGTCACAGAAGTGCACAGTGAAAATGAACGGCACTAAACCGAAACGATAGGCCCTCTTCTTCCAGAAGGTGCTTTACAGCTGTTCCTAGGAGATTTTGCAGATTCTACATGTTGCAAAAATGACCCTGCTAACAACTGACAAGTCTGCTTTGGGGTGAAATCTGGCAAATTTAAACTTGGCACAGTAACACTAGTTTAAAAAGAGGACTGAAGAACGTTCTATTCATTGGAAAACCACAAAAAAAAAAAAATCAAGGAGTTCTATGAACGCGTAAAGATGGCTGTGGTATGCTCTGTTACTCCAGCTTACTTCTGACAGAAAAAAGACAACCATTTCAATGATTAAAGCTGCAGCCCCATGTAGAGAAGATTATGTTTGAGTAAAGCTTCAAAAAGCGTATGCAACTGAGCACTTCTGCTAGAGAGACAAACAAATTGTTATGAGGTAGATAGTCCCTGCTGGAGTCATGTTAAGTATATACTTTCTCGTAATAAGGTGCAAACCGTGATTCAACCTCTATCTGTGTTTGAAATACAAATGAAAGAACACAAACTCCTGTGTGCTCTTTTAAAGGTGTCAGTGAGTTATGTGACAATATGTGTGCATATGCTATGCTAACAACATCGTTAATGGGATCAGGAGAGGCAACGCTCACTCTGAATTTCAATGGTTTCTTTCCTCTGTATTTTTACATTGAGATTATTACAGTAATTTCCACCTTATTGTCTCTGCAAAGAGAGTTTTCTTTGAGAGTACTTGGGAGTTCATTAGTGGTGTAGTTTAGGCTTTGGGGGATGCAGCTGACATTAATTTTGTTTTTGTTTGCTGCTGGGAATATCATAATTGGAAATCTCTAGCAGCATGTGTGCATGCACCTATTCAAGTAGCAGTTGATTTTTATTAAAGTTGCAGTAAAACAGCTATTCGCACAATCTGAAATCGTACTTTACTGGAATTTAGTTTAGCTTAACTTAGATATTAGCTTGCCCCAGTGTAAACTACAATACTGAACTGCGCTGAACTGATCACCAAGCTTTTTCAAGGCTGACTAGTGAAAACAAGACTGGACTTCTGGCTGGACGATTTATCAGATGGTGCCAGGTTACAGTCTGAGGTGCGCCATGATTTGACATCGTCTGAAAAGCTGATTGGAGATTCAGAAACACCAGTCACCATTCCCAGTCTTCTCCTTTGATGCCAGGCATTTGTCAGGGTTACTGCACTTGGGGTCCCAGCTGGCCTGGCTGAACATTGCGGCTGGACACCTGAGCAGAGGCCTGCGACTGCCACGGGAAGCGGATGCCACACGTGACCGGCAAGATGCAGTGTGCTGACACTGCTCTTCACAGTGCAACCCAAATCTCTCTGCTCTTTCGGTGCAACCCAAATCGTGACTGCCCAAAAGCCACCGATACGTGGTAAGTGGCACACCCTGCAGCTGCTTCTTCTCCAGCCCCTCTAGGCGACAAGGGTCCCCCGCATAAATCTCTCATCCTTGGAGACTACCAGGTGATGGCTCTGCACTGCAGCAAAGGTCCCTCTGGGACAGCATGGCGACACGCTAAAGGGCAGCGCGGGAGAGTCTTCCTGTGCTGTCTGGAGCTGCTCTCTGAACGGAGGCTTTGAGTCTCCGCAGCTCTTAGCTTGCTCCCTTCCTTAAATGAGCTCGGCAACCTCACATATTTTAAAATGGCTTTAAAAAGAACAGAAACATTGACTAAAAGGTCAGCACTGATGCCAGCACTCAAAATTCCTAGCGCAATTACATGACTGCATGCAGCAATTCACCTTAGCAGTGAATTTTAACTATGGATAAGGATTAAGCAACAGACACACATTTCAAGCATCTTTCCTTTTATCTTCAAGAATAAAAACAAAAACCCACAGTTGTATGCTATTTTAGATGGCACCACTTTTTCCAGAAACTTGTGGCTTTTGATCGGCACTGCCAGACTGGCTGTACAAAGTGACTGCCACTAGATGGAGTGGCTTTTACAAACAGGTTGGTCAGCAGTCTTTCAGAGGCAAAGATTTAACTTTGTCCAGCCTATTTTTCCAGCCTGCTTTACTGGGGTTCAAACATATCAGGGGGTAAACACCTGCTGAGAGTTGAAGATACTCAAAGCATTGCAGGTGTTAGCCCTCAAAGCAAAAGAACTAGTGAAGGGTAAGTAAATCTTACTACTGCCCTCCACTGTGTGGTTATATATAGCCTATTAAGAAGCCCTGGCTTGCTATCAGAACAGAGAGACCTCTTAGATAAAACGTAACATAGATAATATGTGAAAGGCGAGTAATTCATCACAGGCAACAGGGAGAATTATACCTCCCCCAGATTTTTAGTTGGTCCCCAGGACCAGTTTACTCAGAGAACAAGAACATGACTATCTTCTCCTACTATTCTGGGGGAGAGGGAGAGCTGGAAAGTTGTTATAGCTATCTAAATAGGGCTGAATGTACTATATTTTTCAAAATAGGATGATTGATAGAGCAGTCTTTATACTCTGAATAGAAACAGTGAATATTTGACGTTCTTCCTCAGAAAGTAATTATGAGCAGTACAATGATGCGACTGATAACTGCAAAATTGTTGATGTGGAAAGAAAAGGAATCAAAACAATAAAGGGAAATCCACAATCAAACCTTCCTAGTTTCTATTTTAGAAAATATTTTGATCTCCGTGTTTATACATTTCTTCTATGATATCCACAGCTAATTAAGAACAGGTTAAAGGACAAGTAGGCATAATTGAAATGTAGTTTATGAATGCACAAAAATATGTAAATGAAATCTCCTTACTTACACCTGTCATAAGGCTTGTCAACTCAGGCTTGTACGTCCTTCAGAGAAGGGCTAGATCTTCTAGGAAGTTTGCACAGTGCTCAGCACACTGGGACTCCAACCAAGCTGGGTCCATAAAGTGCTGCCACAGAGGGAACAGCAGTAATTTATAATCATATGTAGTCAACTGGAAAAGGGTGAAAGAAATGAGATCTACTATAGTAAGTGTTGGCCTCAGGGAATTAGAACTGTCCTATAAAATGAAAATTTATATGGCTAATAATTGTCTTATCCCATATGGCGATGAACAATACTACTTTGAGAACAGAACAAGGTTTCCAAGCCCTAGAGGAGGAAATGCAGAGTCTGAGAAACGGTACTTTAGGACTCACTAACAAGAAACAAGAAAAAAAAGTAGAAGAAAATGTGAAAACAATGTTACCCCTCTCTTATTTATTGTTTTACTACTGCATCTCCAATCCTGTGCAACCTTTAGGCTATAAATGGCAAATATCCTGTCGCTCCTAATTCAGGAAAACTTCTATTCGCTTCAGCGGGAATTTTCTCTGAGTGAGGAATCAGGAAGGAGCACTGAAGCTAGGACAAGTGTGTATCAGGGATGGTATCTTCTTGTTACAGCAAGCCACAATTAGCTGTGGGGTAAACTAGGGCATGGCAACACTGAACCAAGTTTTACTCTTATGTAACGCGCTGGCAACTATCGCAGGCTGCCTCTTAATTAGTAAGAAACCACAGCTACATGGTTAGTTATGTTTAATTAGCGTACTAATTGTACACTACCAGGATGGAGGCTGGATTGTTCTAATTTGGGGACAAAGTGCCCCTACGTGACACCCTCCCCCAGCATCCAGCAGCTGACAATCTGAACAGCAAGAAAAAAAGAAAAAAACAGGGGGGGCAGCACTGATCAGTGATTGATAGGGTTCTTAAATGAAATAACATTACCTCCTCCTTCCAAAGTTCTGTTAGCGAGATGTGTGCACTAGTTTTAACACAGGTGGGACGTGCAGGCAGGAAGAACAAGAGGCTGTGCCTTACCTCTAGCAGCATATCCACGCTTCCAGGCACAGAGAGGTTTGAAAACAAGGCTGATGTCCCTGCTCCGTTCGATGCAGGCAAAGGACCTGAACTTTGTTCTCCCACGACCCAGGTGAGCGTGCTGGCAATCTCTATTCTGCTGCACGTCTCTAACTGTTTGAATGGCTCACTGTTGTTTCAATAATTACATATCCAGAAAGAAAGGCCCCAATTTATATTCCAGTAGCTAGGGAGCACACCTAGGACGTGACAGGCTTAGGTTGCAGCCCTTTCCCTGAATTAAGCAAACCGAAGATTAGAATTTTTTTGTCTTCCACATCCAGAAAAACACCAGAAGTGCTGAGCTGCAGGGGAAAGGGTGGGGAGAGCTACCCCTGCCCGTGAAAATCCTCCAAAGGTCTTGAGTTAACACTTGATTTCCAGTTCTGAAATCTCCGCTTTTGAAATACAGCCCCCTGCAAACACATTTCCTTCTGAGTTCTAGACAAGAAAAAGTACTGAAGTCACAAACAAGCAAAAGAGACCATCACGCTCATGGAGATGGGAAACTAGAGCTACCCAACCTGCCCGTCTTTTGCGGGAAATGAGGGGATGCAGGGACTGCTATCTTAAAACAACAAAAATAGGGTACAAACATGGGATTTTAAGATCTTTCACAAATTATCTTATGCATCCTAATTTCATTTAAAGACAGAGTTCTGGGATACAATTCAGAGGCTTGCTGAAGCGGGAAAGGCTCCGATGAAAAGGAATCAGTGTGGAGCAAGAGTGACCTGGAATTTGCTTAAAATCAGCTCCAATTCAGGGACCCATTTCTCACTAAAATGAAACAAATAGTAAGAAAACCAGCTTGATACAATTTTATGGTATTCACATGTAAGGAAAACAGAAGGTAACTCATTAAGCTGATCAGTTTTGAACCCAATCTTTTTTTTATTTTCAACCCAGGGATTTATATTGAATTTCAATGTTCCAACAAAAATCACTTTGTTTTCTGCATCTTTGCCAACCATTCCCTAATGTGAAAAGGTGCAGACACTTAGTACTGCTGAGTAGAATTGACATAAATTTTAAATGCAGAGACAGAGAAGCCCAGCAAGGTGCAAAAGCGATGGGGACTGAGCACTGAATCTCCTGGATGTAACCAGAAGAGACAGCAGCCTAACACAGAAAGTGTAGTTGAAGAGACAAAAGTAATTTGGAAGAGCAAAGTAGGACCGAAAAGACAGAAAAGACCCAGACGCTACTGAATGCTAAACGCTAACAGTCCCCAGAAGTATGTAATGTCTAGAGCACGGAAACTGAGGGACAAACACATTAATTAGCAAAAGGAAAGTGATAACCACTCCAAGAAAACAGCTTCCATGTAATGTCCAGAGCAGAACAAAAAAGGACATGAATTTGTCACAGTAGAAAATATTACTGAACTTTATTAAAAGAGCAAAAGACTAGAGACCGAATGACAGTAAAAACATCATGCCCCCCACAGAGAACTCTTAATAAACTGCGTAGAGTGCATGTCTCCCCCCCACCAAAAGAAACTGTGCGCAGAAACAAGTTTTAAGCAGAGCCTTTGCTAGGTAGTAACGAGGTGCTGAACGCAAAGCTAATGTAGGCTAAGTGATTAGTGGAAATGGGATTAGAAAGAGGGAGGAAAGATAACTAGTGGCCACATGCAGTGAACAGGACACCTCCAAGGGAGACAGGAACAAAACAGGAAAAAGTAGGAGCCGAAGACACAAGGGGAAGGTGCTTCTCTGCAGCAGGGGAGGAAGACTTC